AATCTGATGCTGTGAAAAGCAGTAGTAATACTGATGTTTTAGCAAGAAATGCAGCTGCCTTCCCCTTTATAGATTGGGGTAGGAATAATGGGCCAGTTTCTTCATCTGCAACTTTTTCATGCCTAATTTTAGGGCTTTGAAAGTGATAGTTCATTTCTCAAAGGAAATCAACACACTCGTTTCATAAGCTAGACTGCCAAATCCCAGTCTCATGTAGCATGAGATTTGTGATAAGGCAACAGAAATCCGAGTAAAGTCCCCATGACAGAAAAGGTCACTTGTGATTAATTTTGGGTTAGTGCAAATACCATGGCAGAACTTCAAATTACTGACATTGTGTGATAAGCTCATTTCTTTATGGAAAGATAATTAGTGCAATTGAGCTCGAGTAAGCGCTTCTCACCCACTGCCCTCAAGTCGATTCCGACTCATAGCAAACCTGTAAGACAGAGAAGTGCCCCATAGTTTCCAAGGCCGTAAATCTTTATGTTAGCAGACTGCCTCATCTTTCTCCCGTGGAGCAGCTGGTGGGTTCGAACTGCCGTCCATTTGGTTAGCAGCTGAATGCCTTAACCACTGCAGCATCAGAGATCCTTAGTAAGTGCTTAGCTTCTTTAAATTTAAAACACATGTAGAGGAGATTAAGCAGGGGGGGAAAATCTGTATCACAACCTTGGGAATTACACAAAAGTAGTGGGGACAGTATTATCCATAATAATACAGTTAAGGAGAGCTAATAGGAGATCTTGGGGGCAGATCACATACCTTCTGACATTAAAAGGTCATTTATCATTCTAATCCATGCTTCATCATAGATTAAGGTGGCAATAACACTATCTCTGCAAGTCTTTTTTTGGGTAGACTGGACTGGGCAGTTTTGTTGTTGTATATAGGGTCGCTCATGAGTCGGAGCTGACTCAACGGCACCTAACGAGAGTAAATGTGACAGGGCTTTGAACTTCTGGGATTATTGTATGAATTCATGATGGTCTTTTTGAGTGTAGCAATGAAAACTATACAAGTGAATTGTACCAGTGGTTCTCAAATGTTTAAGTGGAGAACGTGTTAAAATGGTGATTCCTAGGCCTACCTGATTAAAGGCTGGCAAATGACATTTTTAGCAAGCACTCTTAAATGATTCTAACGCAGGTCTTTTGGACCCACACTTTGAGAAACCATGATTTAGTGTCTGAAAGCGCTCCCATAGGAAAAGTGATGCTTTATTCTCCTTAGTGGAGGGTAGACAAAAGAGGGGAAGGCCCTCAACGAGATGGATTGACACGGTGGCTGCAGTGATGGGCTCAAGTATACCAAGGTCTGTGGAGCTGGCATGGGACCAGGCAGTGTTTTGTTCTGCTGTGCATAGGGTTGCTATGAGTCAGAGATGACTTGACGGCACCTAACAACAACATTCTCCTTGGTAATTCTATAATGGCCAGGAATAGTTCTATGTCCACAATATAGACTTGATGAATGTCTTGGGTGCAGGTCACATATCTTGTGACATTAAAACGGTCATTTATCATTTTAATCCATGCTTCATCATGGATTAAGGCAGTAGTAACACTTTTTCTGCAATAATCTATTTCTGGGTAGAATGGCCTTGCCACTTTATACCTTACAGGGGTGAGTTTATGTCTGGCTGTAGTTCTTCCTTTTTCTTTCTAGTAATAAAGTGAGTAAAACACATATTGTTCTTAAAAAGAACCCCCCCCCCCAATTTAACAGAATATAACCAGCAATATCATGAAAAATTAAACTAAAGAGAAAGAAATTTGGCAACATTTAAGAATAAAATGCCATTATTTTCCTAGGTATCCAGAAAAAAAAAAAGACCAGTATCTTAATAAAAGATGCTTGAATAAAATGCTAACTGAAAGGTAGAGCTCAAAGTGTATTGTATGAGGAAGAACTGTGATCCACCTTTGAAATCCAGAAGTTATTTTAGATCAGATATTAACAATGGCATGATAGGAAAACTAGTGTTCCAGCTGGTTTCTCCTTTATGCCACCTCCAAAGGACTTCACTTAAGTCCTCGCTCCTCACTTCAACATTCACCGTTTCTTAGAGGTTGCCCCAAACTGGCTAATCTTTAAACGCAGAAACCAAGTTGTGTAAAACAAAACCTAAAATGCTCCCTTGGAGCAAAGGAAAAAAGATTTGGTTTCCATGATCTCTTAATGAAACGCAGATCCTTTCACTATGGGATCCTCCTCACATTGTCTGGGGTTATGTAGCCACCACAAGAAACACAATAGCATGAGAAAAGGCTGAGCCAGCCAACATGTAGTAACATGCCCAGGAATGTCTCCAGTGGCCCAGAAATGCAGTCTTCGTACTTTGTCACAAGACATTGTCATTTCCTGGAACAGATTTACTGAGTATCAGCACTTGGATAATTGCAACGCTATCCCAACTGACCTCTGATGGGAGTGTACGTCTGAAATGATCACATCCACAGGGACAATTATCATCTGTGAACAAATATTCTCAGTGATGTCACAGGGGTCCTGAATCCCTGACCAACACCATGCTCATCATCACTGCTGTTCTCATATCAGCTAAAGACGTTGTGGGGAGGAAAAAAGGTAGCTTCTACTGCAGATGAATTTTTTTTCTATCGTAGGAGAATGCAAAATGGAAAAATACATAGGCTTCTTTTTCTAGATGAAAACATTTAAAGCTAAACTTTGAAAATTGGTTTCGTGATTTCGTCTTCAAGGCCCAGAGGCCTTTTAAAGTAAGTATCATGTCTGCCTAAGAATTAGATTTAGATGTCTCACTTGGTGTCTCCTTCATTTCCCATAATAACAGAACATGTCAGTATCACAAAGGAATGGCTGCAGTCCTGGGTGTGTTAAAAGCTTTTAGGTGCTTGTGGCATTCTAAGCAGCATCACCAATTACTCTCCTGAGGAGGTCACCCTTACTTTTACTTGTACAAACTAGAAAAATTATTGGGAAAGATGAATGTGCAAAATATTCCCAAACCAAACCCATTACCATAGAGTCAATTCCAATTCATACAGACCCTAAAAGACAAAGAAAAAGCCCCATACGGTTTCCAATCTTTATAGAAGCAGACTGCTCTTTCTCCCACAGAGCAGTTGGTGGGTTCAATCTGTTCATCTTACGTTTAGCAGCCAAGTGCTTAACCACTGTGCCATGAGGGCTCCTTAAAATGTTCCCAGTCAAGCTTTTAAGAATAATAATACTGAAGAGTGTTGGGAACTCAGAGGCCCAGAATACCTCTGAGAAATACCATTAAGAGTAGCTATAAATATGGTTGTTTACAACAACATAAACAGCTGTAAAGATTGTTGGCTGGCTTCAACCTGGTCTGACCAGGAAGGCCACCTCAATATCAGCAGGACATACAGTTAACTACATACAAATGGGAATCATGGGAATCGATTTGAGACTCCATTGTTAGTCTAAGACCAAAATAACCATAAACAAACAAACAAAAAAACCAAACTCACTGCCATCCAGTTGGTGACCCCTCACTGGGTTTCGGAGGCAGTCTCTTTCTGTAAGTAGATTGCCCAGTCTTCCAAGGAGTGGCTGGTGGGTTTAAACCACCAGCCTTCTGGTTAGCAGTCAGATGCCTTAGGGACTATGCCAACAGAGCTCCTAAAATAACCTGTGATTGTAGCTATTGGTCATTGTCATTGGCTCCACTGACCCCCTGGGAGATGGGATCTCTGAATGTGTCCTAAGCTTTTGAAGACTTTCTTGGGAAACCAAGGAGCTATATTATTTTTTTTGATCAGTGGAACACACAGAGTATAATCTCCAAAGAACAAAGCAACAGCTTTTGTTGACTGCTCACAAGAAACTTCTGGGTGGCCAATTAGTTCTAAGTTAATCAAAAGGTATTTATTTATACTGGTGACAGAAACTAGTTTTGAAGTTCTTAGTAAGAACATCAGAGTCCCTGGGTGGTAAAAATGGTTAAGGTGTTCAACTGCTAACTAAAAGGCTGGAGGTTCAAGTCCGGCCAGACAGAGGCAACTCAGAAGAAAGAGCCAGCATTCTAATTCCAGAAAAAAAAAAACAAACCACAACTCAGCCAGTTGAAAACCTGTGGAGCACAGTTCTACTTTACGCACAATACATCACAATAGTAATGACACAGAGCATGAGGAGAAGGAGGCATGTTGCACAAAGGCTTCTTCTCGGGGAAAAATGTGTGTGTTCCTGTTTGATACAAGGGTGAAGCGGTAAGGAAACTGGGATTCCCGTATACTCGGGTGAATGCATGTAAGTGTAGAATGTCTACTTGCTTATGTTAAAATAAAACAGACAACTCTGGAGTGTAGCTAAAAAACAAGTTTCCACACTCAATGCAGCTATCTTTGGGATTCTTCATTTTCATTAAGGTTTTCACAAAATACAAAGCTCAAACATAATTGTCTACATACGCCACAAAACAGAATCAAGTAAGTGGTTAGCACATGAACGAAATGATCTCTTTTCATTTTTAAAAATATAAATAATAACAATGTTCAAGGTTTTACAACTCTTTCTCTCGGGGTGTGTGTGTGTCTTGTCTTTTTAAGGCTTTATGTTGTAGACCCTTCGTTAATGAGGACTTGCCCCCTGCCATCAGGATACTCTGCCCACAGGAAAGGAAGGCCACCGGGGATACATTCCTGAGGGTGGCACACACTGATCTAGGATGCCCCAGCCTGTTAAAAACTAAATGATCAATCAAACACCCTCCCACCAGTTCTCAGAGTGTCATTAATTTTCTTTCTACTACCAAGTAATAATAGAAAGGAGGGAAGCTCCCAGCAGCATCTGAGCTCTCAAAGGATCAATCATGAAGGGAGAGAAGGAAAAAAAAAAAGGCTTTTTCCGGGACAGAATGTTTCCTTTTATCAAGAAAAACCCCCCAACAACCCATGTAGTTTAAACAGTGGTTTGTACTGAAACATCTTTCAGATTAAATAGTGTTGAGAGAAAAGATATCTTTTGGTTGGGTGTTTTAGAAGAGGTTAAAGTGGAGAGGTTAATGCTGGAAAATTACTACTGAGAGTACATCCCCCAGCAGGAGCCGTTTCACTTGCAAGGTTCGGGGGCAAGGCCAGGGCCCCTGCCTTGGGAATGAAATCTGAGGGAAGGCTCTCCAGCAGACACTTGACCTGCTCCTGGCCCAGTTTGATCTTGTCATCTAGCTTTCGCTGCTCAATGAGGAGTGTTGACTTCATTTTTACAAAATGCTGGTAATCCTGGAGTTGCTCCTCTGAAAAGTAATTGGCCAGGATGTCCAGCACCACCCGTTCTCTTCGATCCAGGTTCTCCTTGAGCTCCCGGGCATCTTCGTGCTGCCCGGCTAGGACCTTCCTCTTTTCGTTGAGAGAGTTCTGCCAGGGCAAAATGAGAAGATCAGCAAAGGACAAAAGGAAGGAAGCAAAGAGCCAAAGTGCCTGCAAAGAAACCTGCCACTGGACTGCCCGATGTCTACACTTCTATGTGAACTGTCACTCTGTGTGTTGTTTATGCCGTAGATTCAGACCCACAGCGACCCTGTGTGCATGGAAGAGAAATGCTCCATAGGATTTTCAAGGCTGTGACGTTTTAGAAGCGGACTGCCAGATCTGTCTTCTGGGGGTGCCTTTGGGTAGGTTAGAACTGCCGATCTTTTGGCTAGCAGTTGAGCATTTAGCCATTTGGGCCACTCAGGGACTCCTTTGAAAATTGGTTCATTATTCCTTTTTATTTCCTCCCTGATACACTTATTCCTTTTCTAGATTTTTTTTTATGGTGGTGAAAATATATATAACAGAACATTTGCAAATTCAACAATGTCAGTGGCACTGCCTACACTCATATTGTGCAATCACTATCCTTTTCTGAACTATTCCATTGCTGTTAACATATACCTAATGCTTCCTATGAACAGCTCTCTCTTACCCTCTCTCATCCCCACCCCCTAGAAACCACTAATAATCTTTGGTTTCTATACATTTCTTATTTCACATAAGTGATTTCATATGGTACTTGTCCTTTTATAACTGATTTATTTTGCACAGCACAGCGTTTACTAGGTTCATATACATGTTGTGGCATGCATCTTTATGGCTGAGTATATATGTATGTATACAGTACATTTTGTTCATCCACTCATCTGTTGATTGATATTTGGATTGTTTCCACCCAGTTCATTAGTATTATGTTGCATTTTATATGGTTCTCCAACTTCTAATATCATTCAGTAGCTTCATTTGAGAGGGGTTAAATTAAACTGGCTGTGGTAATGACTTTATTTTAGATTTGGTTTGAACCCACCCAGAGGTTCTGCACGAGAAAGACCTGGAGATCTGCTTTCATAAATATTACATCCTAGAAAACCCTACAGGAGCAGTTCCACTCTGTCACATGGGATTGCTGTGAGTTGAAATCGACTCAACAGCACCAGACTTAAAGGACAATCAACAGACTTAAAAGGGCAATCAAGGTATCTTGAGCATTTACTCCAATACAGTAATGACTTACTGAGTAAGTACTCAAGATGTGGTCTCTGGATCAGCAGTAGCATTGCTATCGGGGAACTTGTTAAAAATGCAAGTTCTCAGGCCCTGTTCTACATATTAGATCAAAAACTCTGGAGGCTGGGCCCAAACAATTTGTGCTTTAACAAGCCCTCTAGATGACCCTGGTAGCTAAAGTTTAGAACCTCTGCTCTAGTTCATAAACGACAATGAGAACATCATATTTCCAACTTTTGAAGAAATCAGTAAGGAGCCATAGTGGCACAGTGGTTAAAGGGCTGGGCTGCTAAATAAAAGGGTGGCAGTTCAAACCGACCAGCTGCTCTGCAGGAGAAATATGGGGTGGTCTGCTTCTGTAAAGATACACAGCTTTGGAAACCCTATACAGCAGTTCTACTTTGTTCTAGGGTCGCTATGAGTCAGGATCAACTCAATGGCAATGAGTTGGGGAGCTGGAAGATCAGTTTCCATCTTTCCAGGTCTCTTTTTCAGGCCTCTGAATACCTGTGGGTCCTCACATCCCGATTCCCCACAGCCCTGGGCTCATGTTCCTGCACTCTTGCTATACCCCTCTCCCTTTTATTAAATATCAATACGTATCATGCTTCTTTTCTTCTGAGATGGAGAGACAGGAAGGGGGTTGGGAGAAAAGAAATTGGCACCTGTGTTTTCTCTTTCCTAAGTATTCCCTAAGTCTATAGTGTCAGCATTACATCTTGGCACAGAAGGTGCCTTCTTCTCTGTTTCCTGGTTATCTGTACACTTGCTGGCTCCTTTCCCCGCCCCAAAGAGATTACAATCTTCTTCAGAGAAGGCATCATGTCTAACGGCACCTTTCTATATACATGGGCCTGGAGGGAAAACTTGTTGAACTGAATCAAGAGACCACCTACCCGTTCTTCATTACTGGCATCTTCCCCAAGGCTACTAAGGACATTCTCAACGCGGGCCAGGCGCCCCGACAGGGAGAGCAGAAGGTTTACCACTTTGTCCAAGTCCCCTATGAACATCTTGTACTTGTCAAACTCATTGGGCTTGCAGAGCTCACGGATCAAAGCCTCCACCTCTTCTCCTAGGGCGTTATTGAGCTTGATGTCCATCAGCACACTCCCCTTCGCCTCCTGGAGGGTCTCAAGCTTCTGGGTAAGGCTTCCAATGAGCTCTGCCTGTAACGACAGAGGGACACACAGCAAACATTAGCCAGCTAGAGATGTCAACGTTTAAGGATTCACTTCTTCTAGCCACATCTTGTCTTTTCCTCAAGGCTCAGCTGAAGGTCCCCCTACTCCATAGGGACTGCCTTCAACATTAGGCCACAGTATTCTCTCCTTTCCCTGAATGTCTACAGTGCTTTTCTCTGAACCTATGAAATGCTCACAGCTTGACACTTGATTACACATTGCTTTGTAATGTTTACTGATTATGTATGCTTTGTACATCTTTGCCTTCCCAATGGGTTTGTTAACTATTCATTATTTTAAGTCTTTTTAAGACATGCTCTCATTTCATCCTTTTAACAATGCCATGTTATTCTTGTTTTACAAACAGAGAGATGAAGATCTTAGGAGAATTAAGGGACTTGTCCACAGGACTGAATTGATATTAATCATAACTAGTGTATAGAGAACAATTACTCATGCCAGAGACACTGTGCAAGAAATTCTACATCGATGATCTCATTTAATATTCTCAACATTTTTGTCATAACTACTATTTTATCCACATACAATAGGTAAGGAAACTGAGACTCAGTGAGGAGAAGTGCTGGCCTAAACCACATGAACACCAATGGTGAGATGGAGGTGAACTCAGCTCAGCCTGATTTCAGAGGCCACCCTTGTACAATCATAATATTGACACCAAAACCTTTATGGGAAAGTAAGTCAGCCCCTTGTCTTTCCACTGCACCCCAATGTCTCCAGTTACCTGAGCCCTAAGGAATATTTTGCCTAGCTTCTGTGTAACATGCCACTTACATCACAAATTTCTATACTTATCTTTTTTGGTTCAAACCTATTTCTTTCCCACTGAAACAGGTTCCAGCACAAACCACATCTATATTTAAGGCCAAGTTGTGTGGCTTCAACTGGAAACTTGGTAAAAAGAAAGGTTGCAACTTCTAGGTTAGAGTCTATCATCATTTTAAAGGAAGGAACAGAAAAAGGAAAAAGTATAAATATTTCTGACAAACAGAACTGAAGGGCATTTTGTATTCTTTGTTCAATATCAGTATCAGAAAGTCCATTAAGGATAAAATAATCATAGAGAAACATTCTGTTTCTCATGATCTGCACATCTCAGAACAGGACCACCAGAGTATTTCAATGTAAGTGACATTCAAAATATCCTTGAAATATAGGAGTTCTGGCTTTAATGGTGACACCTTGTTTTCTCATCCACCTAGTCCCAGAGGCTGCAGAATAGATGAAAACATTCACATCTGCTTTCCCCATCATCATGGGTTATAATCACTGATTTCCTCAAGCTGTTTAGATAAGACAGAAACAAGGCAAAGGACAATTTTAGTAGTGGGAAGACATGTGCACTGTATAAGCATATGACTCTTCAGCCAGAGAATCTGAGAGGTGGAGAGAGTATTTTTAATGTTTAATCTCCCTTACCTTCTCTTGGAAAGCATCATCATTTTCCAGAAAGCAATTCTGGCTGGTAGCTATGATACCTGCCCACAAAGTAACATACTAGGTACCCCCAGCAAAATGCCTAGCACAGTATGGTGATGTTTTAATGTGGTATCAATTCATATAAAAAGAACAGTAAAGGCTTTGTAATAGAAAGCAACGGGAAAAATAAACACTGCATGCTATTACCTTCTCAACATTCCTATTGGATAGGACTAAGACAAGCCAAATGTCATCATCCTGTTTTTAGGTAGATAATGGCAGACTAAGGAGCTCTGGTGGGGAAGTGCCTAAGGCATCTGATTGCTAGTCAGAAGGTCACCAGCTCAAACCTTATTGCTGCTTTGTGGAAGGAACATGGGCCAATTTACTTCTGTAAAGATTTACTGCCTTGGAAACTCAATGGGGGTCAGAATTGACTTGAAGGCAGTGGGAATGAACGACTGACATTTATATGAAGTCAGCCCAGCAGTTTTTACCCTTGTAAGATGCCTAGGCTTGCTATTCCAAACGGTACAGGACAATATTTAAAGAAAACCAAGACATACCAAATCCAAGGAAGTAGTTAACTGAGCAACTCCAGTCTTATCACACCAACCTCAGGAAAAAGTTTCATGCTTATTCACATACATTCTAAATTCATACATTTTAAATTCTTGGATTTCTAAAATGCAACCTCAAGTCTTGAAGAGTACAATTTCTAGAGAATGCTTTTTAAAAATGAAGTATGGGAAAAAAAGAGGTACCAGCTTCACGTTTTTCACTATTCTCATAAACATGACTTCTTTCGAAAATCATATTGTTGGTAGTCATTTCTGGAAGAAAGTACTTTTATTAACAATTTAATTGATATCATTTAAAAATCCTCATTAAGGTTCTCTGAAGCTGATATTTTAAGGGACTGGTGTGATAATTCTCAGTTTGTAAACAAGGAAGCAGAAACCAGTAAGGATAAGTAGTAGTTTGTCTGCCCTCACATGTAAGGGGGAGTGGTAAAGAGAAGGAAAAATTCGTCTTCCTGAATGTTCTGTCTGAGATGGGAGTCACCAATTTTCTCAGGCTCCTGAGCAGGTCAGCGTGCTGAAAGGACAGCCACGAAATAAGCCTGATTCAATGGGCTGGGGCAGGTCAAAAGAATACGGCACAGCTGAATAGCAGTCAGGGTCGAGGCTCCACAGCCCAGTCTATGTAGTCTTTCCTCTCCAGACCCTGCTTTGACTTTCAAAGACACAATTGCTGCGCAGAACCTTAAGTGCATCCACCCCAGTAGCCGGATATGTACTCTAGGCTTCATGGTGTAAAGAAGAACAGAATGAGATGAAAATGTCTAGGGGCGAGGATGGGAAACTTCTGTGGGAAGAACCAACACACATTTTGTGGCATTTTGATCCATGAGAGCTATTTGCTGGCCTGTAATGTGATCCGTCATAGTTCGGCATATATGCTAACGTAAGTTATTACAGAGCAGTCAGATCAGTTGCTTCTGGCCAAATGTTGCATATCTGGATGGCATGTGAATTTCTAAAACTCCACCAAACCATTCAAAATGGAAATTTGGATTTAAAAATGTAGTTTTAAAGGGCTCTGAGTAACTGAAGGCAACAAGGGAAAGTTGGCTGTACTAAACAGCCATTTCTTTGTCAGGTAGATCTCTCCAAAGCTACCAACTTCTTACCCACAAAATTCATTAGGAGAGTGAAGAAGAGTTTTTTGTTTTCTTTTAAATAGACATAACAAAATTTTCACCAATTTGACAATTTCCACATGTACAATTCAATGACATTGATACAATCTTCATGTGTGCAACTTTCATTGCTTTATTGTCTCAAATTATTCTATCACCATTAATATAAAGTCAATGTCCCCTAAGCCAGAACCCCTCCTCCCCCCATGTCTTCCACACACAGTTACCACTAATAACCTTTAGTTTCTATATATTACACCTTATTTAATATGAGATCATACAGTATTTGACCTTCTGTGACAGACATATTTTGAAGAAGACGTGTTTGGGCTTTTTTGTTGTTGTTTAAATAACACACAACAAGTCTCTTAGGAGCTACTTAACTGTAAAACCATTGACATTTATCCGCTTCATTTCTTACGTGGCATAAACTATAAACTCACCCCAGGAGAGGTACTATCTATAACGGTTCTTTTTCTAAACGTAGTTTAACAGAACCTCCCTCTCCTCCCTCACCATCTGCTGGACTGCTTCCCCCTTCCTTATTGCTCTGTGTGTGATGAGTACCAGACAAGGAAGCAGGAGACCAGGCTCTCAGACAAGATCCACCGTCAGACAAGTCACTTGATCTTTTGCGTCTCAGTTTTACCCGCCCTAAGAAAGGGATAATAATACCTGCCTGAAAATAATAATGGCGAATTATTAAGTTCTTTCTCTGTGCCAGGCACTATTCTAAGTGTTTTACTGTCCAATTACTAATCTTAACAACCATATGAGATGAGTACTATAATTATCTCCATTATACTGATGAAAGGGAGCTCTGGTAGCATAGGGGATAAGACACTTGCCTGCTAACCAGACGGCTGGCGGTTCAAACCCACCAGCCACTCCCCGGAAGGAAGGTTGGGCAATCCTACTTCCGTAGTGATACTGCCTCGGAAACCCAAGGAGGGGTCGCTATGAGTCAGGTTTGACTCGACGGCACATAACAACAACAACAACAACAACAATACTGATGAAAAAAGTGGCAGATAGAGGCAGATAGAGCTTAATCAACTTTCTCAAACTTACATAGCTAAGAAGTGGCAGAGCCAGGCTTCAATCCAGGTTGTCTGGCTCCAGAGTTCAGTTTAATTACAACATTAAAACAGCTCATAGGAATGTTATGAACCCTGATGTGCAAGCACTATGGAAAATATAAAAGTATTATACACATTTGAGTTACTGTGCTTTGTGTTACTGTCAAAATTAGGCAACAATTTGAAGAACATACACCACTCATTTTAGGTAGATGCCTTGAGGGGAATACCCAACTTCTCCCCTACACAAGACAACCCTGCTTTGCCTTCTGCTCAGGTGACTTGAGCTGACAGTGTTAGTGACATCCCACACAGCTGGCTTCTGTTGACTGACTGCTTTCATTCCAAGCAGAGTAATATTCTTGCCCAAGTGGCTAGGGTTTAGGAACTGAGTGGAATTCAGGCTTCCATTAGTAAAAAGTAAAAGTAGAAACCATGTGAGAACATTTCCAATGTATAGGCTCTGTTATCATCGGCAGCAACATATTACTGTTTTCTTGTTTTTAAAATAAGTTGAATTCACCTAAGAGAGCTGTTAGAGGCGGTTTCTGTGCCAATTACAATAACTGGATCAAGCCTCTACCTAATGTTGTGTGATCCGATTAAAGGAGAAAGATTATGGGGACTTGATTGCCATTTCAAATATTCCCTAGTAAATTCTGTTGAGAATGGTTCTTTACCATTTTCTCTTGGGAAGGCTTATAACCAGAAAGATGTTATATCTATTTAGTATGGTCTCTTGGAGTTTTGGTAGCATAGTGAGT